AAGCATTCGGGACCTTGTAACACCTTGAATTTATTTTCAAGGCAGGAGCGTTACACGGTATTTTAGTAAAGCTTCATGGTTAAGAATTCGGGATCTTGTAACACCTTGAGGTTATCTTCAAGGCGGGAGCGTTACACGGTATTCTAGTAAAAGCTTCAAGTTGGTTAAGCATTCGGGACCTTGTAACACTTTGAATTTATTTTCAAAGTGGGAGCGTTACACGGTATTCTAGTAAAGCTTCATGGTCAAACATTCAGGACCTTGTAACACCTTGAGTTTATTTTCAAGGTGGGAGCGTTACACGGTATCCTATTAAAGCTTCAAGTTGATCAAGCATTTCGGGACCTAGTAACACCTTGAATTTATTTTCAAAGCAGGAGCGTTACACGGTATTCTAGTAAAACTTCATGGTTGAGCATTCGGGATCTTGTAACACCTTGAGTTTATTTTCAAGACGGAAACGTTACACGGTATTCCATTAAAGCTTTATGTTGGTCAAGCATTCAAGACCGTGTAACACCTTGAGTTTATTTCAACGCAGGAGCGTTACACGGTATTCTAGTTTAGCCTCAAGTCGGTGATCTTTAAAGCGGAGAAGTTTTTTTTAAAAAAAAAACACCCCTTCACCTCAAAATCAAATTTTTTGTGTGTTAAGATAGCTCTCCATTACATACCTTCCTATATATATATATATATATATACTGCGAGAGAAAGAGAAGCTCGTGATGATTGATGTTGAGAATAAAAAAATATGCTGGCCTCTATTTATAGATGTTAATATGGGTTATGGCGGTGGAGGAATCCATATCCTATACCAATTGTAACTCTATCTTTTTAGGAGTTAATATGCCACTAAAAGAATTCATATTCTATACAAATTATAATTCCTTTTTGCTAAAAAAAGAAAAAAATATCCTAAGGAAGTATGACAGTAGGAATTGAATAATTAAATAAATGTATTTATTTATTTAAAAAAAAAGGAGAAACGGCTAAATAATCCTTTTCATGCTACTATTAGATTGTTTGTTTATTATCCTTTCTCCTACATCTAATTGGCTAAGGATAATTCGAGGTTGGCAATATGATATCTAAATATCATTTATATGTTTCAATTACGTTGGAGTGTATACCAATAAGCTAAAATACATGGTATATAATTATCGTGTAAGTAATACTTCAAGCCTAGTCTCTAAAAGATAAAATATTTCGACAAGACTTGAAGCAGGGGGCATTTGTAATCATTTAAAATTTATTAAATATAAATTTATAATATGATTCGGATTATATTGAATTCATAAATATATTAATCCAAATAAATATTGTGGATTGGTATAATTGAGTTAAATATTTAAGTCCAATAAGTATGGATTTAATTAAAGTCTAAATTAATTGATTTGGCTACATTGGATGAACCCAATTTGTTAAACCCAATCTCATCTCATTCTAGAGCCCATCTTGGCGCCACGTGTGCAAATGATATGACATGCCAAGTCAAATAAGAAAACCAATAGAATCATGACATGTGTCAAAGATGACAAGCCCACTCCATAAAACTCAAATGTCATGTCACTTAAATCTGATTGGCTGAACGAAATCCTATTCCAATCGCAACTCCTCTATTCTAAAACTATAAATAGGGGTCCTCATAATTCAGAAAGAGACAGAAAATTCTAAACAAGAAGCTACAGAAACTCTATGGTACAAACGCCATTTAATTCTCTACAAAGCTATAAGTTTAAGCATTCAAGTTCAAGAACGATCAAGATCAAGACCACCGAATTCAAGAACAAGCTCGAAGCCCTTGAATTCAAATAAAAGTCAAGATCAAGATAAAGTTCAAGTTCATCATAGATTCAAGAACAAGCTTTAAAGCCCTTGAATTTATATTTGAAAAGGCAAATTCAGAGGAATTATAGAGATTGTAACACTCGCATTTGAAATAATAAAATGATTGTTGCTATAATTTTTCATTCTTGATTATTGTTTTCTCGACGCGAATTTTATTGTCTACAATACCGTTTGTGTAAATCAACTCACGAAAGGAAAACAATTCTAATAAGAAACTACGAACTTGAAACTATGAATGCAATCTCAAACTCAACCTTTGTTTATGAGTAAAAAAATGTATAACAAGATATGTTGTGTGCGCGTAGAGAAGGAAGTCTAGTGCAGAAAATTTTCTTTTTTTCTCCACTTCTCCTCCTTTTTCCTGATTGTTTTTCTTTTCTTCTTCTTTTTTATCGTTCGTTTTCTTTTTGTCTCTTTTTGGATGA